AAGACAATTTTTTTATCACTTCTGGTACTTGTTACTCAATTGTAGATCATATCATTCTAACTTTCGGCAAAATAAGCTTGTTACTTCATTAGAACGTGATGAAATTAAAGATTTCTTGCTGTTGTGCAATACACTGTGCTGTTGCGCAATACTTAGTAAATCTGTCGTCAGACTATAAACAAATAAAGTTCAATTAATTCCCAGTCATATTAGAAATTTATGAAACTGTAAAGGGAGCTTGCATCAATAGATATAAACAATTCACTTAAGTTTCATGAGAATTGCTGACAGCATTTTTGAGCTATTGTCCGAAAACTGGAAAATCACCCCTTTTTTAATGAATAAAACCCCATAACTCAGAAATGTAAAATGTAAAATTTATAAAATTTTAAACGGAGCTTACATCAATATAGATATAAACAATTCACCAAAGTTTCATACGAACTGCTGAAAGCATTTTTGATTTTTGTCCGAAACTGGAAAATCCCCCCTTTTTTCATGAATAAAACCCTGCAACTCAGAAATGTAAAATCTAAAATATATAAAAATCGAAAGGGAACTCATGTCAAAAGATATAAACAATTCACCACAATTTCTTGCAAGTTGGTGAAAGCTTTTATTGTCTGAAAACAGGAAAATCCCCCTTTTTTTAATGAATAAAACCCCATAACTCAGAAACGTAAAATCTAAAATTTATAAAAAATGAAAGGGAGCTCATATCAATAGATATAAACAATTCACCGAAGTTTTATGCAAATTAGTTAAAGCGGTTTTGAGTTAATGTCCGACATGTTGACAACGGACAGACGGACAACGGTATACCATAGTACGTTCTGTAAACGGGCGTATAAAAATGACAGGGTGTCATACCACACCAAAACCTTCTGAAAGAAACACTAAAGTTGGCAAACAAATTTTTTTTTTTTTCATCGACAACCCTGTATAACCTTGCAGCAGTATCGAGTCTACATGCATTACCTTGTATATTTCATGTACATTGAACTTAAAAATATGTGGTCATTGTCAAAGTTAGTTATGTCAGTTATAATTTACACATTTACTGAAACATGCCAGAGAAGTGCATGTACAAACTTTTGAATTTAATCTGCAAACTGGGAAAGCCATCCTTTTTTACGAATAAAATCCCACAATTTATTAAATTGAAAGGGAGCTTGCATCAATAGATATATATAAACAATTAACCAAAGTTTCATGACAAATAACAACTGCTTAAAGCATTTTCGAGTTAATGTCTGAAAACATGGAAATCCCCCTTTTTGAATGAATAAAACCCCTTACATTGTAACTGGATAATGTAAATTCTAAAATTCCAAAACAATCTAAAGGGAGCTCACATCAATACATAAATACAATCCCATATAACTCTGAAACGGGAAACCTAAAATTTATAAAATAATCAATTCACAACAGTTTCATGCAAATTGGTGAAAGCGTTGAAGAGTTGGTGAACAAAGCATTTTTAGAGTTAATGGGCGTTAACATGAAAATCCCCCTTTTTTAATGAATAAAACCTCACATTTTGAAAAAGTATATCATAAAATTCCTAAAAATCTAAAAGGGAGCTCACGTCAGTAGATATAATCAATTCACCAGAGTTTCATGCAAATTGGTGAAAATATTACTGAGTTAGTGAACAACATGCTAGAAACAGACAGATCAGGGCAGACAGACGGACAAAGGCATACCATAATATTTCTCATTAACAGGCGTATGAAAACTGCAGGGTACCATTCCAGGCCAACACCCTCTGAAGGAAACACTATAAGGGAGCTTCCTTTCCATTTTTAAGGGGGGAAAAGGGGGGGGGGGGGGGGGGGGGGGGGGGGGGCTAGGATGAAAATTTTTTTTCCTGCCTTTTTTTTTAGTCTGTCCTGCCTTTTTAATTTTCACTCTTTTTTGTCCTGCCTTTTTTTCTATTAGTTTATCCCGACTTGTTTACATATATTGTCATCCTGCCTTTTTTTCAAATTTCATCCTAGACCCCCCCTAAAAATCAAATGGTAGCTCCCTAAGTTAGCAAACAAATTATTTTATTTTTACATTGACAAACCTGTATAACCTTGAAGCAGTATTAAGTTCATGTATTATCCCGCATATTATTACATGTACATTGAACTAAAACAAATTGTGGTCATTGTCAAAATTATAGTTTACAGTTTACTTTTCCAATGCTTTCAATTTAAGATTAGGGCATTTTTGTCATTGGAATGGAGTTTTGTAGTCGGAGATTACTCTAACCTCTGACGACTGTTTTGCGACACCAGCTAGGGCAGTGGGACTTCAGCTGGTCCCATATCAGATAGATGATATTTGCCTGTCCGAAGTGGAGGCGACTGGATTCATATAAATCAAGCCTCAGTTTATTTATTTTTCTCTTCATTTAAGTAAGTTTGATCAACCTGCCACCCGTTATCTTCTCATATTTGGACAGTTTTCACATTGACCAATCAATACTGGCATTTTAAAGGGTATGAATGCCCTTTACCGTCAGGCGTCAAACAGACATTTTCAGTTACCGTTAGCATCAAATTGGTTAACATTTTACCGTGATTCGTCAACATATCCTTATCGTGATTCATCAGAGGTCTCAAATAATTATCGTTACCATTATTTTTGGGGAAAAATTAACGTGATTCATCAAAATCTATTTTTTTATCGTCTTGAAGAAATTATTTTATCGTCATGCACCAAAAATTACCGTTAACGTCATTTGGCAGGATTTTTTTACCGTTATTCGTCATGAAGGTACCCCCAATACCACCCTCATTTTAACTTTCACTTTATAAGAATGTCACATGACCAACATTATGGGAACTGATTTATGCAAATGACCCATATTCCATAGGAAAACATAATCTATATAAATCAAGCCTCAATTAGTTCATTTTTCTCTTCATTAAAGTAAGTTTAATCGACCTGCCACCCGCTATTTTCTCATATTTGGACAGTTTTCACATCGACACATCAATACTGGCATTTTTACTTTAACTTTAAAAGATTGTGACATGACCAACAGAAAAAGTATTTTACAATGCATTACATGTATGAGAGCTGATTTATGAAAATGACCCTTATTCAATAGGAAAACATAATCTAACGTTCATTTATGATGCAAATAAGCTGAATGGCCGAGTGTGTTCAATTTGAAAATAAAGAGTTAAAATGCCGGAATCGCAAAAACAGATGTTGGACACCAGAGTAATCTCGGACTATGAGTATGAGTTTTGGGCAATTTGTAAGGGGGGGAGGGTTCAAGGGAAGCAAATGCTCTTTAAATTATGCATGTTTCAAAAATTGGGGAAAAATTACACAGAGAGTTGAGTCATTTTTTTCAGACTTAATTCAAATAATGACTAATGCAGAATTACCTTCTAATTCTAGAAAAAAAATTCACAACTACTGTCTGAGTACTGAACAGGAACAATCATGGTACTTTTTTACCTATGAAACTATACTATGACATCTGTCAATGATCTGATCTGCAAAACCTACAAACAAACACAGAAATATCATCAAATAGTGAAATAAAAGATTGATTGCACCTTGTATGGATAGTTCCGACACGTGTTACATGGGGAGCCCGTTTGTTACAAATAATAATGTCACGTGATCACGCACTGACCGTCGCAAATTTTTATTACACAATATTACTGTCTTACACAATTCACAAATGCATAACCCATTTATCTTGCGGACATGCAATGGGAATGTGCACGGTTATCAAAAACTACAAAAATATTGCATGTACAGTTAATGAAGAAGTTATTTCATCAAATAGATAAGATTTTCACTCATGACACAAATCGACTGGGTGTCATCGCCATCGGGGATAATTGATAAATGGGATTAAATTGACCGCCAAGAAGGTGTAGAGAACCTTAACATTAATAAGTAATACTCACCAAAATTTCTCTATAATTAACGCTATTTTCTGTTGGAAAATTTCAGAAAGATGCTGATAAACTTATTTGGTGACACCTGAGACTACTATAACACATTGTGATATAGTAGTCTCAGGTGACACAGATTATTTTCTTGTTTTGGCGCGAAATATATTCTTACTCTTAATGCTTGACGTAACAAAATTTGTATAGAATTATATTTAATTAAAGCTCAGCGTAAATATGCAGAAGCATGACAATACATTAATAATAAAATGTGTAAATATTTCTGTAAAAGAACATAATTTTACTTTACCAGTATACTTCACTTAGAATTACATTTGAGCGCAAGAAAATCTCTATGTGAAACGGCGCGGGGTCGAAGTTCAACATTTCAACGGAAATTTTTGCGTGTACTTGCGTTGCTTTAGATCGAGGCCACAGCTTTTCAACCAATCGGGGAATGTTTACTTGGGGCATACATCTATTTTTACTGCAGGTTTCGACATGTTTAAATCGGGATTATAGAAAAATGGAATGTTGTTGGTAGATACAGAACAGAAAATGATGAACACTTTTAGCAAAAGATAAATTGGATCGGGGGTCTGTGAATTCACATTATTTGTACAACTCTCCTTACTCTTGGGAAGCGTCTGCTTTACATCGAGGCTTGCGTTGCTTTACATCGAGGCTTTCGTTGCTTTACATCGACGCCATAGTAGTTCAACCAATCGGGGAATGTTTATTTGGGGCATACATCTATTTTTACTGCAGGTTTTGGCATATTTTAATCGAAATTAGAGAAAAATGGAATGATGTTAGGAGATATAAAACAGAAAATGATAAATATTTTTAGCAAAAGATGAATTGGATCGGGGTTCTGTGTATTCACATTATTTGTACAACTCTCCTTACTGATGGCAAAAAATGGAATTTCCGTGACCTAAATGGTTCGCGAAAATTAATATTTTTATATATATATAGTAACTATATTTGATGTTTTTGGAGTTTCCACTAGTTCTCAATCTAAATATGGATTCACTTTTATTAGTAATTTACTACCAAACAGTAAAACATACTCAATGAGCTGAATCTATATAATTGTATCTACACTTTTATTAGTAATTTACTTCCAAACAGTAAAACATACTCAATGAGCTGAATCTATACAATAAGTTATTGTCTGCAAACCAGAAAAATAATTGTTTTTGGACCCTAATTACAAAACTACGACAATAACCCCCAAAATCAATCCCAACCCTCTTAATGTGGTATGGAACCTTGTGCTAAAATTTCATAGAGATCCATACACTTAAAAAATGTATACTTAAGTTATTGTCTGCAAACCAAAATGTCTTTTTAACGAATTATCAACCAAAACTTCTCACAATATGTGACAGAAATTATTGCTAATGCAAATATTGCGACTTCAGGAGTATCTCAATAATAAGAACTTGCTTTCTAATATTTGATACATGTACATATATCTGTATGTAACTTTTCATAAAATCGAAATAAATGCACACAATAATTTCTGAATTTACAGTACATATTTTACTGCGTCTAAAAAGCTCAAGGTACAAACTGGGGTCGAAACTTTGAAGAAAGGGATTTTAAATGGATACTATAATATATGTGACACTATTATATCCCATTGAATACTAGGTTGTAAACAATTCAATCATATAACAATGCTTAATTGCTGTTCGTTATCTTTACAATTACCAGAAGGTCTTCAGAATTAAAATAAAAAACTCATGCTTGACCAGAAGATAAAAACTGTCTTTCACAGTTACCTCTACATCGCTTGTCGTACCCTGCAAATTATTATGTTTCTTTGAAAGAACATTTGTGGGATTTTTCAATACATTTCACTAGTCTTCCAACAAATTGTCTCATTCACCAGCGGACAAGCCAGCATTATTGATAAAATGTTACTTCTTTTTAGCAGAACGGAAAGCTTTCAAGTCAGTTATTGTCATCGGAAGTGTATATACTATGAGGAAACAATTTAAATGTGCATTGTTCACACCACAGGTGCTGAGAAGACCAAGTATCCAATAAAAAGAATCAAAAACAAAACATTTTCTCTAGATGCTTTCGAAAACTAAAGTATAATCATATATCAAGCTAGCATTTGAATGTATGTTGTAGAAAATATGCCTTCATATCTCACCCTATTCCTTGACTTCAACATCTCTTTATTTTTGCTGTTGGGAATTGGAATCAGAGGGTATATTTATTTCATATATTACTATATTTGATGTTTTTGGAGTTTCCACTAGTTCTCAATCTAAATATGGATTCACTTTTATTAGTAATTTACTACCAAACAGTAAAACATACTCAATGAGCTGAATCTATATAATTGTATCTACACTTTTATTAGTAATTTACTTCCAAACAGTAAAACATACTCAATGAGCTGAATCTATATAATTGTATCTACACTTTTATTAGTAATTTACTTCCAAACAGTAAAACATACTCAATGAGCTGAATCTATATGATTGTATCTACACTTTTATTATAATACTTTTCTTTGTGTAATACTCCTACACAACTTGTTCTGTCGGGCGAATCATCATTTCACTAACCTGTAAAATAAAGGATATTTTAGGGTTGGATTTCATATCTAAAGTTAATTTCATTATGAAACAAGCATATTTCATTTTATGAAGCGAAAAAATAGCATGCAAACCTAGAGGTTTGGCACAAAATACCTCTCTCTTGAAAATCAAAGCACTGTACGCGCTGTAGGCAGTTAACCAAAAACCAAGGCAAACGTAATTATGAAAACTGTGGCAGTGTTGCTTCAATTTTTTTTTAAAGATTTGAAAGAACAAACATTAAACATTCGTATATTGTACATTTATGTTCATTAAATGAATTGATTATTAAGGCAAATTAATTAATATTTCATCAAGGTTTTCAAAAGCAACTCATATATCAATGTAAATGACCCCCATCTTCACCCCAAGTGCATGATGTTACTCCATACCAAGTTTTGAATAAAATGACGGGTGATTATAAAACAGTTGGTCAAATATTCTCGCTTTACACTGCTTGAAAGATTTATATGTTTTCTTTAAAATGAGCCATAAATGAAATCTATTATAGATAGATATAGGAAGATGTGGTATGAGTGCCAATGAGACAACTCTCCATCCAAGTTACAGTTTATAAAAGTAAACCATTATAGGTCAAGGTACGGCCTAGAAATAATTTAATAAATAATTAAAGTAAATTCAATTAACCTAGACTCATTTTTTGCATCAATAAAATTTTATAATAAACAAGAAATAATTGTAACAGGATGCCGTTATGAAGTCTCCCAAACAAAGCCTCCATAATTCGTCATTCCCATGGTCTCCTGACATTGGGCAAAGTCCAGTTCATATTGGTTTGGTCTAGTAAAGTTATATGCATATGCGACACCTAGGAGATTGACCCTGTATGTCATTCAAATCTTTTTGAAATGATGAACAGGAATAAATATGGTTTAGGTGTGGGTATCTCGACCGTTTACAAGTTCTCAAACAGGAGGGGGTGGGGTGACCCCATGGACTCCCCCTATATTTCATTTGATTTGTTATATTGTCCCATACATGAATACATATGGTTTAGGGGTGGGGATCTCGACCATTTCCAAGTTCTCAAACAGGAGGGGTGGGGTGACCCCAGGGACTCCCCAAATATTTCATTTGATTTGTTATATTGTCCCATACATGAGTATATATGGTTTAGGGGTGGGGATCTCGACCATTTCCAAGTTCTCAAACAGGAGGGGTGGGGTGACCCGAGGAACTCCCCATATATTTCATTTGATTTGTTATATTGTCCCATACAAGAATACATATGGTTTAGGGGTGGGGATCTTGACTGTTTACAAGTTCTCAAACAAGAGGGGGTGGGGTGTCCCTGTGGACTCCCCCTATATTTCATTTGATTTGTTTTATTGTCCCATACATGAATATATATGGTTTAGGGGTGGTGATCTCGATCATTTCCAAGTTCTCAAACAGGAGGGGGTGGGGTGACCCAAGGAACTCCCCATATATTTCATTTGATTTGTTATATTGTCCCATACATGAATATATATGGTTAAGGGGTGGGGATCTTGACTGTTTACAAGTTCTCAAACAGGAGGGGTTGGGGTGTCCCCAGGGACTCCCCCTATATTTCATTTGATTTGTTTTATTGTCCCATACAGGAATGTATATGGTTTAGGGGTGGAGATCTCAACCATTTCCAAGTTCTCAAACAGGAAGGGTTGGGGTGACCCCAGGAACTCCCCATATATTTCATTTGATTTGTTATATTGTCCCATACATGAATATATATGGTTTAGGGGTGGGGATCTCGACCATTTCCAAGTTCTAAAAACAGGAGGGGGTGGGGTGACCCCAGGGACTCCCCAAATATTTCATTTGCTTTGTTATATTGTCCCATACATGAGTATATATGGTGTAGGGGTGGGGATCTCGACCATTTCCAAGTTCTCAAACAGGAGGGGTGGGGTGACCTGAGGAACTCCCCATATATTTCATTTGATTTGTTATATTGTCCCATACAAGAATACATATGGTTTAGGGGTGGGGATCTTGACTGTTTACAAGTTCTCAAACAAGAGGGGGTGGGGTGTCCCCGTGGACTCCCCCTATATTTCATTTGATTTGTTTTATTGTCCCATACATGAATATATATGGTTTAGGGGTGGGGATCTCGACCATTTCCAAGTTCTCAAACAAGAGGGGGTGGGGTGACCCAAGGAACTCAACATATATTTCATTTGATTTGTTATATTGTCCCATACATGAATACATATGGTTTAGGGGTGGGTATCTTGACTGTTTACAAGTTCTCAAACAAGAGGGGGTGGGGTGTCCCCATGGACTCCCCCTATATTTGATTTGATTTGTTATATTGTCCCATACATGAATATATATGGTTTAGGGGTGTTGATCTCGATCATTCCCAAGTTCTCAAACAGGAGGGGGTGGGGTGACCCAAGGAACTCCCCATATATTTCATTTGATTTGTTATATTGTCCCATACATGAATATATATGGTTTAGGGGTGGGGATCTTGACTGTTTACAAGTTCTCAAACAAGAGGGGGTGGGGTGTCCCCGTGGACTCCCCCTATATTTAATTTGATTTGTTTTATTGTCCCATACAGGAATATATATGGTTTAGGGGTGGTGATCTCGATCATTTCCAAGTTCTCAAACAGGAGGGGGTGGGGTGACCCAAGGAACTCAACATATATTTCATTTGATTTGTTATATTGTCCCATACATGAATATATATGGTTTAGGGGTGGGGATCTCGACTGTTTACAAGTTCTCAATCAGGAGGGGGTGGGGTGTCCCCATGGACTCCCAATATATTTCATTTGATTTGTTTTATTGTCCCATACATGAATGTATATGGTTTAGGGGTGGAGATCTCAGTCATTTCCAAGTTCTCAAACAGGAGGGGTTGGGGTGACCCCAGGGACTCCCCATATATTTCATTTGATTTGTTATATTGTCCCAACATGAATATATATGGTTTAGGGGTGGGGATCTCGACCGTTTACAAGTTCTCAAACAGGAGGGGTGGGACGACACCGGGGACTCCCCCAAATTATTTTCATTTGATTTCTATTATTGTCCCATACAAGTATATATATTGTTTCGGGTGGGTATCGCGACGGTTTACAAGATAAAAGTACATTTTCAAATTGAAGGGGGTTGGGATGACCCCCAGGGACTCACCCTATATTTTGGTTGATTTTTTTTTATTGTTCTGTTCTTATTACTGAAGACTGCATGTGTCTATCACTTACTGTTTTCGAGAAATAGTCATTTGAAAATAAAAAAAAAAAAAAATCCCTTAGGGTTCTATAGTAAACCCCTCCCTTCTTCAGGCCCCTCCAAATACCCCTAAATCGACCCCAATGCACAAACAAAAGATTAATGGCTCCGCTAGACATGTAAGTCTAATCATGGAAGTATTATATTGATATAATACTTCCATGGTCTAATGTTTTATGAAACCCTAAGTGAATCTGACAAACGGTCAAAGTTGTCTTAACGGGTTAAGTGGATTCTGTCCGACTTGTCTCGGGGACGAGTTGTCCACATTACTTAAAACATCCCATCAACGTCGATTTCCGCATCTGTTTCATGACCTCGTTTCATTCATAAAATAACAACAACCTTATTTGGCAAGATAAGTTAAAAATTACCGCCCACTTAATTAACTTTATTTCCTCTATCATAGAGATTTGTTGTACATGAACAATATTCCTGCGCATTTTAATATAAACGACTTGTAATTAACGATTTTCGGCGATGAAATATTTCATACAATTGTTCTTTGACATCGTAGCCAAAAGCACCGGGGATAATAAACTACGTACGGATTTCTATTGAGCACTACTTCCTATGTGCAACTTCAAAAGTTTTGGGTAGTTCGACGATCATTTAAGGTTTTTCTGGTCATATTTTTTGTATTCCAGAAATAAAAGTATTAAAAAAATGTCCAATTAGTTATAAATAACATAATAGCCAGCTAGATAATATTAATGGCACGTATTTCAGCATTTATTGGGTAGAACACAAATCTAGGGTGCTCGCATAAGGCAGCTTAACTGCCTAAAAACCGTCATCTGCTATGTTGGGAAACAAAGGTTTAAGAATTAAATACTTATACATATTTTTGAGATAAGACTTAGTAAATTCATGTAATAAATGAAAAATGAATCTAGTCTCTTTTCACTATCTTTAAATGATAAATTTGTCTCTGCAGCGGATGGTGGGTATTTCGACCAATGATGTCTCATCAGTTAATACCCAAGACAAGAATAATTGTGCAAAGCCGTAAACAAGCCAAGCAGCCAAAACTAGACATGAAACCAGAGATATGTGTTGTTGTCCTTTAAAAATTCACAGGTTATTTGTTTTTAATTTGACCACTACAAAGAGATATTGGCAATTTCCTCTGTTTCACTTGCAGGGCCAAAATTTGAAAGTCGTTGCCAATGAAAGCAATCATGATTGCCAAAATGATATAATTTGTATCTCGAAAAATTAAAATATATATATACAACTTTGTCTCACATAGAATATTGGGGTTAGTTTAAATTCCCTTAAACTCTAAATAATTTTTAAGAAACGCCAAACTTGCAAAAAATTATCAAAATTTGAGCTCCGTGCCATCTCTATGCATTTATCAATTGGTCTCATGCTCGGAAATACGCCAAATTGTTGTGTAAAGGCGTGATGCTGTGGATGTAAAAAAAAAATGGACCAGGTGTAAAAACTCATCAAAAATGCTAGTCTTATAATTTAATACGCTAGAGGTGTAATACTTCCAGATAAATTGACCTGCCCTCTTTCTTTTACACAATATACATATATCCTTATGTTCATGCCATGCAACATTTTTAATAATTTGTTGTTTCTCATTTTTTTCACTACTAAATTCATTCACCTGGACATGTGATGGGTAAGATAAAACTGTTTCTATGGCATTGGCGATGTCCTGAGGATCCAGACCTTGTCTTGTACTGTAACATTCGTTAGCTGCAGCTTCTCCAACTGCAGTACAGGCAAAATTAGTCTTCACTAAGCCTGGACTGATACTCTGCAACAACGAATAAAATATGTTATAAGGGACCTCTGGGTTGCCAACAAAACGTGTTGATATGACAACAAAGGAGCAGACAATAGCAGCATGGGGGAGAGTATATGTTACTGAAAAATATATATTCTTACAATCATTAAAAATTCGGAGTTGGGACTGTTTTCAGTATTGTGAATTTCTCATCTAAGATAACTCATGTATGTGAATATTGTGTTTATTTTCAAATGATGAATATGTGTGAATAAATTACTATAATAAATTATTATGAATTTCAGGAGAGATGTGGGGTGTATGTTAATGAGAGAGCAATACAAAAATATAGAAAACCATATTTATAAGACCAAAGTTGTGTAAATATTGATAAGCTTACTGTTATTTTGATATGACTGTTTATTTCTCTTAGTTCCCATCTAATGCCTTCAGTTAATGCAGTCACTGCATATTTAGTAGCTGAATAAAAGTGTGCTTTGCCACAACGATGTCCGGATAAACTTTAAATATATGAATGATAAAGTTCACACAATTTTGTTAATGAAATTCAAACAACATCTACTTAAAGCACCAATGCATCATGAAAGTTCGACCTAAACAATTTAGGTTTCATATTTTCATTGGTTTATTTTTCAAAGAATTCTCTTTACTCATCTTCAGCTTGTATAACTTGTATACTCCTGCTTTTATGTACCGAAGTGAGATAAACACGACGTCGTGAATATTTGCCACTGAACATTAAAAACTCAATAAAGATCTTGCGGTTTTCAATGAAAAAATGCTTAGAGAATAAATGTGCATCATATTATCTAGTTATCCCGTATTATTACTGTTTATATAAGAAAGATCCGTTAAATAATGTGTTCGTTTGTGAAATAATATTTGATTTAAAACTAAATCTGCCTTATTAAAAGTTTCACCTGTTGATATTAATGATATGACCATCATCAACTCTGTTGGCCCTCATCATTTTCACAGACTCTCTTGTACACAGACATACAGCCATCACATTCACCTAGAAAGACACAACTATAAATAACAATCTTTACTATACTACCAGCCAAAAATTTAAAGGAAAAAAAACAAAAACATGACAAAAAATAATAACAATATCTAATTAATGTTACGAATTAAAGTGAGGCTAATATAGTCTGTCACTGTCAAAGAGGGATCTATTTGTTCCATTGGACATAACAATGTTAAGATGGAGCCAGTTACACAAGAAATTATTAAACAAATCGTTATAGTATTTACAGAAAGTATACTTCAAATTTGAAAAAGAGTTTAGAATTCCATGCATACGTTTTTGAGTCACGCAGGTTTTCTAAGATATTCAGAATTATCTAGACAAGCATTTAGCACCATCATATTGAGTTTTGTGACGGTTAAAAAAAGTTGTTTATAGAAACTAGCAAGACTGATGGGTTTCAATGATCGTGAAGGTAGAGAATTTGTTATTTCTATAAAAGATAATGTCACATGCAAGGGTCCAAAAACGGTCATATTTGCCAGTCATAACCCAAACTGAAGGCTATTTGTCCTAAACGGCAGATTGGGATATAGGAAAAATAAATTTTTATTCCGAAATGATTTCGGTCATTTTATTTAGATCAGGTTTCCTATTCGCCACTGATTATTATGGGGACAAAGTCCCCAATTACAGTAAGAAAATCAATAAAATGAAGAAAAAAAAATTAATATTCTTATGAACTCAAAAGCTTTAACTTTTTTTTCTAACTTTTTCAGATTCCTGCATTTGCGTAGAAATCTCTTTCTTTCTTCCTTCCTGTCTCTTTTGTCACAGGATATTGAGTAAAATATTGGAAGGAGCATCATATTGTTTCCTGCAAATTTGTTGTTTTTGATTACTGAAAGAATACTATACATTTATTTCCCGTGTCCGAGGGAGATATGAAAATTTGTTCACCCAAGAAAATTCATATTTCCAAAGGGCCTGACTTTTCGAGGGTGAAGAATCTTCATATCTCCCTAAGCCAATGGAAATGAATGTTTTATTCCACTGCCTATTATTACACAGAATACTTATTTGAGTACTTCATTGTAATTTTTCATTTACATGGTTGTGCTTACATGATTTTATTTTGTTGATCGTTGGATCCACAGCGATCAGTGTGTTTTAGGAAGGACATCTAATGGTTTTTGTTTACTCAATAAAATAATAAACAAGTGATTTTATACAATGTATGGTGTGTATGCCGAAGCACTTTGAATGATACTCATCTAATTGTTCTTTTCGGTAATCGTCGAACTATTGCAGAAAAGTTGTATTTTGTGAGAAAGTAATGTCAAAGAATCATTTCCAAAATATCTGAATACATCAAAAAAAAATTAAAGCAAAAAATCGCCGAAACGTTACTTTGAAAATACATTTTTTTTAGCCTAATCTAGAAATTTGTGGGTAGATATCTTGGTCAGTTTTGTTTTATAAATAATTCCATCAACGGGATTATTCTGTGGCTTATATTTGTATTAAGCGTTTGTATTTGATTATCATTTTCGTTTATGGTCGTAGTTGTTTTGTGCGTTTTTAAATTTAATAAAGTACAAGATGATATCATAGATGTTTCTGTGATGAAATGTCTTGTAAACTACGTTTCTGATGTCCAGCTAGGAACTGGAGTTCGATATAAGTATGATTTATAATGTGTAAAATGAGTGATTCTTCTATACAATGTATGGTGTATATGACAATATGTATATAACGCACTTTCAATGATAAGCAAGACCACAATTTAATGACATAAATTTTCATTTCTATTCTGCAGTCGATCTCTTTGCAGAAAAGTTGTATTTTGTGAGAAAGTAATGGCAAGGAATCATTTCTATTTTATCTGAATACTTCAAAAGATTTGAACTGGACACCTTGTCAGAATGGGTCAAAACAATCAGGTCTCTTATTAAACGTCAAATTCATAAGTTGAAAAACTGTGTGAATGATCGACCAATGTCCGTTTTAAAGAAGCTGTGAAATGTCTTATCATCTCTTCTAGATAAATATGTTGTTCCTGCGAACAAAGCTTCAAATGGTCCGGGGACACAGTTATCGTCCTTTGATTTTCGTTGTCTAGAAATAGTCCCTAGTGTGGACAGTGTATAACTTGCAAATTTTTTCATACACCTTCCAAACTGATTTCTTTATATTTTATGCAAAAAATAGTAAAAAGGGGATGAAATTACATTTAAAAAAAATTTGGGGCATGAATTTTAAGGAAAAGTAGTGATTCAGTCCAGTTTGAAAAGGTAAAAAATTAGTATGTCCAAAGCTTTCAAACTGAATTATAGACCACCTTAACATAAAATTGTCCATATCTTGAGTTAGAGCGCCGATAGACTTTTCAATAATTTTGATATAATTTGTCCCAAAAGTAGGACACTGCACTGTAAAAATCTTTATTGGCTAGAGCAGGTGCGATTTTTGTTGTTGCATTTTTTGCCTAAAAGAAATGCACTACGAAATAACTGTGTTCTCGGGCCAAATAATATTGCTTTTGTATGTAAATCGTACTACTCCGAGTGTCTTTTAAAAGAATTAGGAATAAATGAGCACTCATGTAAACCCACATACAAAAACATATCATTTGACAAGGATAAGATTTTGGCGAATCATAAGTCCTTCATTGCTTCAATGAACTTTATATTGAACAGCAAGCTGAGGAGTTACCTTGTTTGTATTGGATACCTAAGCTTCACAAAATTAGGTACAAACAACGGTACATTGCCGGCTCAACTGCATGTTCTACAAAGGAATTGTCCATTAGATCTGGGACTATTATACTAATATATTATGTCCCTGATTAATTCACAAAAAATCTGTCCGCAGTGAAAGAAAGACTTCAAAAATACTGTGAAACTGTTTTCTCACGTAGTGGTATTAATCATATGTGGATTCTAAAAAAAAATCTAAAGAACTTCTGGATAATTTTAAATCTCGATCTTTCTCTGAAATTAATTCTATCAAACGTTTTGATTTTTCAACCCTTTATTCACCATTCCCCATGTGAAATTGAAAAATCGTCTAAAAGAAATAATCCACAATGCTTTTCAATACAAAATTGGTAGCATACTCTATACATTAACTGCTTTGGGATACACAGATACGGCATATTTTGTTAATAGTGAACAAAAAGGTAAAACATGCTACACAGAGGAACAAATAAAGGCAACAGTAGTATACTGCTGTTCAAAAGTCATAAATCGTTTGAGAGAAAACAAATCCGGGTTACAAACTTAAACCGAGGGAAACACATCAACTATAAGAGGAAAACAACGGAACAACAGAAACACTGAACTGCAACAAAAACAAATAAGTGACCAGTATGCAGGAGTTTCTTTTTGTCGGCATTCCCATGGGAACGAACTGTGCCCCTCTCCTTGCCGACCTCTTCTTCTTTTTATATGAGTCGGAGTTCCTTCAGGCACTTGTCAAACACACGAAGATCAAAGAAGCCAGATCATTTAATTTCACTATCAGATATATTGATGATGTTCTTTCCATTAACAATCCAAACTTTTCTGCCTCGGTTCCATTAATATATCCTCCAGAATTAGAAATTAAGGAAACAAAACACGCGGCTTTCTCCGCCTCATCTTTAACGTATACCTCGAATTTGACATAAGCTGCCATCTCAGTACCAGAATCTATGACAAACGAGACAATTTTAATTTTGAAATTGTAAATTTCAGGCCCCACCTTAGCAGCAGTATACCAACCCCACCTGCATATGGGATATACATTTCCCCAACTCATTCGGTATTCAAGAGCTTGCAGCTGCTACTCAGACTTTACAAAACGTCACCAATGTCTGAGCAGAAAGTTGATGAACCATGGTTATGTCAAAGAACGTCTCGTCCTTTTTCTAAAAAAAAAGTTCATCGGAAAATACCAAGACCTTGTTTGATAAATATTCCGTATTAACTTCACAAATAATACATGATGGCGTTGAAGTATAGATTCTCGGTACTGACGTTGTTCATCATCTTAATTACGTGTTAAAAGTGTTCTTTTTTATTTGTTTTTGTATAGTTTTAACCTTTACTGTTTAGACCATTTTTGGTAATAAACTTTTGGCGTGGCTCGGTATTTATAAATCCCGCCATTGTGTTATTATCCTATGGTCATTTTTTTGTATTCTTGTTTTTCATTTTTGCTTATGTACTTTGTCTATAGAGTGTCTATATTTGCCATTTGTTATTATAATGATTAATATTATAACACAATGTTGACTGCTGTACTCCAATTTTTGACATTTTTACTTATTATGTCTGTTTGTTTTGCTCACACTTTGTTGTCAAAATAATGGAATTCTATGCGACTGTCATACAAGTGAGAGGTTTAGCTAGCTATAAAACCAGGTTTAATCTGGGACTTTTATATTATGTCCTAGGTTTAAGGGCATACGATACAGTAGCAGGGGCAGATAATAACGTTTTCAAAACTTTTCGTGTTGTTTTCGCGACGTTGTTAATCAGAACGATGTAAATTCGCGATGTTTCTAATAAGAACGATTACATTTCGCGACGTCGCTTTAGATGTAGTCACATTTGCGGAAATCCACTGACGTTATAATCCCGATTGCGCGAGTTTGAAAAAAGTACCTGCAATGAAAATCGGCCAAATCACGAGAATTGTTACATTTATTCATTAATAAGGAATTCAACAATATTAACTTCGAATGGGAAAAAAATCAAAATCCACATTCTTAATTTTGTATGTCTGTTATTTTGTAAGAGATAAATTTGTCCTGGTAAAATATGTCCGGGCGGACATATATAACTAGTATAAAAAGTCCATGGTTACAGAATTTACTAGTAATTTTAGTCCGATGTTAGTAATTTATGTCCCCAGACAAATTTTCCTAGGAACTCAAGTCCATGTCATTAATATTCCTAGGTAAAAATGTCCATGTCCTTTTTTTTATAGGAAAAAATATTAATGAATCAAATCATTTACATTTAAACAATGGAAATTTAAATGTTATGTTTAATTGTTTAAGA